GATCCCACGTGCTGCGGAGCGGCTGGGCCCGTGAGCCATGGCCGCTGAGCCTGCGCATCCGGAGCCTGTGCTCCGCAACGGGAGAGGCCACAGCAGTGAGAGGCCCGCGTACCGCAAAAAAAAAAAAAAAAAACAACTAAGCCAGAAGGAAAAGCCTACCAAGGCCAAAGTTAGAAGAATTTGAGCCTTAATAAGAATAATTGCAGTGAATTGAAGCACATTAAATAAGTTAAAATCCGTGCGTTCACAAAGACACCCAAGAAATCTCACTGGTCTCACCTTTGATTAATACTACAGATCTAACTCATTCTAAAAACCAGTAAATAAAGAAGCCTTTCCCATATGAACTCTACCTCAGGGTAACTAGTTACTTGTTATGAGGGGAAGTTTCTCACTAGAGAGGTATTTCATATAAAAAAATGAAGAAAAGATAGAAGTAGAATAGTATACCTTTAATGAAATTAGAGATCTAGGGGTAGGTAATGATCATCAGTGGCTGCTAACATCACAAAAGAGCCAACCAGAATTATATACCCTCTGATGAACTAATCTTGTCAAAAAGCTTAACTTGAATCAGATCAAGTGGGGATGGAAGAACATGTTAAATGACATCGTAAGAATGCAATCAGTGAAATGTAGATTACAGGACTATAGGACAAGTGGCACAGTTTCTTCAACAAATAAATTGCAAAGCAGGGGAAAAAGAGGCAAGGAAATCTATAGTTTAAAAGAGACTTAAGGGACATATCAACCAATATAGGGTGTGGCCGTTATTGGCTCCTGACTCTTTAACAGTTGAAAAAGTTATGAGACTTCCCTGGCAGTCCAGTGGTTAAGACTATGCGCTCCCAGTGCAGGGGGCCCGGGTTCAACCCCTAGTCAGGGAACTAAGATCCTGCATGCCACGTGGCGTGGTCAAAAAAAAAAAAAAAAAATAAAAGTTTTTGAAAATATTGGGAAAATTTGAACATTCAAGTTTTTGCCATTAAGGAGTTAATTTTTTTCGATATGATCATGATATTGTTATATTTTATAGAATAACCTTTTTAGAGGAACAATGTTAGAGTAAAATTATGATTTCTGGAATTTGCTTCAAAATAATCCAAAGGAAGATGGGAGAAAATATTAAAAGCTATAATAAGTTCCTGAATTGAACATTAAAAAATTGAAAAATAGAGTGTAAGAATTTGAGTGAAACAGCCAGTGTGGGCTGAATGGGGAAGGCTTCAGAGAAGAGGGTAGACCAAGGATACCTAAGATATGGAAAGGCATGACTGGGGAGATGGCTAAAGGCAAGGGGGGTACATGGACCAAGGCGTATGGCTTGAATTTAAGTAGTTAGACTAGTAAGGTAGATTGGTTTCCCATTTAGGAAATCTGTGGTTCTTAACCTTTTGGTCACAGATTCCTTCAAGAAATCAGTAAAAGCAATGGACCGTTTCCCCAGAAAAATTAATATTTGCAGTCTTGCATTTTACAATCAGTGGTTTATAGACCCCCTGAAGTCACTCACGTGGACTCCCCACTTACCAACCATTGCCCCAAATCTCTACGCTCTGGGTTAGGGGCTCCAAGAACCGGTTTAAGAGCTTACGGTTTAGGTGGGACATTTCCTGTTTCCTGTGGCCTCACTCAGCATTGAAAGTTTTAATTATTAAAGGTTGGTTCAGCTGCAGTATTCTCTTTAGTGTGAAGATAGATTTCCATTTCCTGACTTACCGCAGCAGAAATGGGATTGATGGTGCATTGTAATTAGGTTTAACAATATGAAATTGGTGATACTCAACCGTTTTTGACCTACTAAAATGGCTGTTTCAATGGTTCTTTCTGTAATTGCTACATTACCTCCTTCACAGGTTGAATAATGTATGTTGCCTTATAGCTCCTTTATCTAGGGCTTTCACTCATTTAATTGTTCTTCTGATACCAGAGGAAGGAAAGGTGGAGACATAGCCCTAACATAGCAGCCTTAGGACTGGAGAATGGAGTCACAGTGGTATCTGAAATAGTGAAGGGTCTTTGCTTTGAAGCAGTTTATTTTCAAAGTTTGAGTTGTCTCTTTACTCCCGATCTTCTCATGTACCATCTGTAAGAACTTGCTTTTCTCTTTACTGCTCCTTCTTGCTATAGAATCCCTAGTATAAACGTTATACTTAAAATTAAGCCACCGCCAGAGATTACTTATTAAAGGTATCTTAAGAATGAAGTGTGGAGCAAAGCGCAGAATTGATATCTTATTCTCCCTGGTAATTGATGCATTGATTAAGACACAAGACTTACATAGTATCCCTACCAATAATGTGTACATGACGCTGAGCACACGGAAATCACCAGGTGAATCTGAACAAAGGCCTCTTCTGTAAAACAAATGGCCTGTACCCTTCAAAACTATCAACATCATGAAAAGACAAAAAGGCAAAGGAACTATTCTTAGGAAAAGGAGATAGAACTAAATGCCATGTGCAATCTTTGATTTGACCTTAGATGAAAAAGTTGAGACAATCAGGGAAATTTTTATATGGACTATATATATGGTGGTAGTATTATCAGTGCTAAATTTCCTGATTATAATATTTGCGGGGAGAATGTTAAGAGTGCTGAAAAATTTAGGCTGAAGTGTCATGATGTTCAGAAAATATATAGAGAGTGAACACACAAGTGTGAGAGTGCAAATGTGGCAAAATGCAAATTGAATCTAGGTGAATGGTGTTTTGTGTGTTCATTATACCGTTCTTTTAATTTTCTAAGAACAGGTTTGAAATAAAAAGTTGAGAAAAAACTCCACTTGGATAAATTTTTTCAAGAGAGTCAGCAACAGAATTGGACTTTTACACCTATGAAGTATAAAAGAGGGTTGCGCATTTATTCTGGTCATTCGTATTCCCCCTTTGCTGGCCCAGGAATACCTCAGGCCACATTTTTAGTCCTCTAAACATTACTATTAATTTTTCCTTAAATTCTTTTCCTAATTAAGACTTATCTTTTACCAGTTAAGTTCTAATTTCTGGGTTTGGTTTGTTGCCCCTAGAACTCTTGACAGAGTATAATTTATACATAAACTTAAAAATTAAGGCCTTTCTCTCTCAAATGGAGAAACCAAACCACTCAAGAGTTTTGGACGTGGGAGAGACTGATTTGACAGAAGATTTGAGTGCTTAAGTGCCAAGCATTGTTCTAATGTTGGAAAATAGCAGTGAACAGAAGTTTCTGGCTTCTTGAAACTTAAAATGGTGGGTCTTAGTCCGTTCAAGCTGCCATAACAAAACACAGGCTGGGTAGGTTATAAACAAAATTTATCTTGCAGTTTTGAAGGCTGGAAAGTCTGAGATTGGGGTGCCAGCATGGTCAGGTGAGGGCCCTCTTCCAGGTTATAAATTTAAATGTGTCCTCACATGGTGGAAGGGGATCAGGGATTTCTAGAGCCCCTTTTAGTGATCTACCACCTCCCAAAGGCCCCACCTCCTAATACCATCACTGTAGGAGTTAGGATTTCAACATAGGGATTTGGGGGACCTAAAAATTCAGACCATAGCAATGGGGGGAAAGATAAATTAGGTGGTAATAACTGCTGTGGAGAAAGAGTAGGGTAAGGATAGGAAATGACAGGGACTTGAAGAAGGCAGCATGTTTTATGACATTTCAAAACCTTATGACTAAATTAGAAAAAAAAAACCCTTATGACTTATGAAAAAAGTGAGGGATGAGTCAGGTAGAAATCTGTGGGAGACTGTCCAAGCAAGGTCAAAGTATAGTAGGAGGGCAGGGGAAAAGAAAGGTATTCAGGGGTCAGATCACATGTGTTGTACTATTGTGTAGCAAGGGTGGAGTTTTAAGTTGGGGAAGACAACTGGAATAATCCCAGGAAGTTTTCCTTTTGGGACCTATCAAGCACTTGCACCACAAAAGGAAGACTGTATCTGAATTTATAAATTTTTGTTCAAGGCTGCTTGTGCTGATTATTAGTTTTATTAGAAGGTAACCGAACTACTACTACATATACCACTCATGGCACAGCTTGAGACAGTATCTGTGGGTACCTGCCCAAGCAGCTCTTCTCCCCACCTCTCTGATAGAACCCATTTTGTTCAGGGTATGCTTGGCTCCTCTCACTGATCTCAAAGATGAAATCTTGAATAATATAAACCAGTAGTTCTGAATTGGGGTACTTTGGAAATGCTTGAGAGGCTTAGTTATCACAATGATTGGTAAACACTAGACGCATTTAGTGAGCAAGGGCCAACCAGAGATGCTAATTATCTTCCCCAGCATGCCACAAAACAATCCTTCATAAAGAATTACTGCACACCCCACAAGGTTCCCACCAAGTGGTCGTGTGGCTGAAAATTTGAGCCTATTATTTCTCATATGAAACCTCAAGAAGCTTTTAAAAGGGTGTTAATAAACAATTTTCCAGAAATATAATTATCACATAAACAATCTCAATTTTTAAGAAATAAACTTAAGAAATAATTATTAAAACTAAAGTGAGTTCTAAGATGCAGTCACCTTCCTGGTTCTGAAGTTGTTAGCATGTGATATTTAGAACTACATTAGAGAAATTAGGACAAGGCAACTCACTGAGGATGAAAAAGCAGAACTATAGAAAGAATCTGGGTTCCTGTTATTGAGCCACTGAAATCACCTTAGGACTTAATACTAGACGTGTTTCATTACTGTAAGCCAATTCTGGTTGGACTTATTTAGAGCAGAAAGCAGCCTGGAAATAGGAGGCCTGATTTTCATGTTAGAGATCTAAAGACTATTTCAACATCCAAACCTTAGATGGGGCTAGGGAGAGAAAAAAAATAAAAGCCTCCTCTGAACCAGACTTGTCTTTGGTGATAATGCTTATTATACCAGCCTTCCCAAGTTTTCAATTTGTTAGAAATTCAAATGCCAGTGTTAGAAAATCCTGTATCGAGGTCAGGGAGTTGGGAAATGTGATTCATGTCATATTTCTGAAGCTAAATCTCAGGGCCTCACCCCTCACAGACAAGAGATCAAAATGCTTTTCCTATTTATTTTTAAAAAAATCCAGAATGGATCAAAAAGAACAGTCATCAGAGATACAGATGCCACTGACACAGGCCAAAGGGTAGCTAGGAAAGTATGCCTTCAGAAAGTTTGGGAGACTTGTGTTTTAGAAGCTGGACCTCACATAAATAGCTAGCTTAGTTTTCCATTGATTCAGCTTCCCCTGCCCTACCTCCCAACATGGCACAGCTAGCTGGCTTGCCTTGCAAGGCCTCAGTTGAAGAACTCCATATACACACAGGCTGGTACAGCAGTACTTAGGTAACTAGAAGGATCTCATCCCCCTATGGTCTCATTCCAGACCTGTCTTCAGTGTGTGAGATGGCTTCACCCCTTTGAAAATACAGCTACTTCAGCACAAAACAACGTTATAACTTTTCCCCCCATCTTACATGCAGCTGAAAAAGAATGACAGGCTAGGGACAAAATACTGTGAACTTTGTACTGTTGGGAATTATTACTTGTTAAATGATCATTAGCTAATGGTCACTAAATTTACATATTCAGGAAATTATATATAGAGTACTGCAAAAACACAGTAGAAGATTGAAGTTTTGCCCATTTCAGCTCAGGAAATCCCTTCACTCCCAAGCATCATAATATGTTGTCCTTTCGACTCCAAAGTTTACTGCTGTTACTGTTTCTCTTCCTTTTGATCTTCCTTTTGCTCCCCAGTGCCAGAACTTCCAGAGCCTTCCCGCTCAGATGCCATCTGTAAGAAAACATTTGAGAATCACTTGTTTAATGTTAAGGGTGACAGTTTGCTCTCTGATGAACTAAAAACGAAAAAGCCATATCCTGCCTGTTCCACTCTCCCAGTTTTAGTGATTTCTTCCCTTTGACCTCACCCTCCCTCCCTCCCTCCCTCCCACCCACCCAACGTAGTCAAGAAGGCAGGAAGAAGGATATTTCCAATTCCAATACTCCCAGTTCCATAAATGGCTATGTAGGAGCCATCAGTGACAGTAATCAAGAGCAGTTACATCAAGTTAGGAGCAAAATATTCATTGAGTAAAACAGCCTTGTACCTTTTTGTATGCCATTTCGAAGAGCTTCAATGATGCTTGCTGAAGGGAAGATGCTGCCTGCCTTATGTTTTCTCCTGTTTCACTGTCTTTTCGAGCGAGGAGCTCCCTCATTTTGGAAATCTCTTCTTTTAGCTTGTGGCACTTAAAAACAACACCAGACCCTCACTTTTTCTGGTTCTTATCCCATAACACACAGCAGAATGTTTAGAAACATTTTTTAAAAACTAAATTCCTATCAAGACCCACACAGAAAAAATGACCTTCACTGACATTGGTGACGATGCCTCCCAACTTCTTGAGCTATTTTAAAAGAGGGTTTACCTCATCAGCAGGCAATTGGTCCTTGAATTCTTCCATCTTGGTTTCTGTGTCATGAATGATTCCTTCAGCCATATTAACTGCTTCAACTCGTTCCTAAGAGAAATTAAAAATGTAGTATGAATGAAGACTTCCCAATCAACTAGTTGGCTGAATGTCCTCATTAAGAAGACAACATGAAAACTGCTACACACAGTTAACAGAGTATAAACAGTTAAGAGGGAGAAATCACTGTGGTCTGAGATGTCTGTAAGAGGTTTTAGCTGGATGCTGTAACATGAAAATTTTGATATGGGAAGACTGAGAATAAATAAGAAAGGCATTTCACATAGAAGTTATGAGCAAAGTAATCACCTTCTTTCGCCGGTCTTCCTCAGCATACTTCTCTGCATTTTTAACCATATTTTCAATATCATCTTTGCTTAACCCACCGGAAGACTGGATCACAACTATAGTGAAAAGAAGGCACCTCATTATTTCCCAGGAAAACTATATGCTTCTTCCTCTACTGTATTAAGAAAAAGAATCCTCCTCTTCAAAGTAGCTGTCTTGATGTGCATTATGAAGAAGGGGAATATCCTATTGTTCTACAATAAGCAGAGGGAAACCAAGGGTCTAAAATATACAGAGAACAACTAACTGTCCTACCTACCAAAACTTCAGCAATCCAGAGGCTCAGTGCTTGCCTTTTTTGGGGGAATAAACACCATACCTTTTAATGTGACACTGATACCTGAGGAGAAAGAGGGCAAAGAGGACTCATCATCCTCCCCTGAGGCTAAGGGAAAAGATAATGCCCAATCTAGAGGGTCTAGTTCCCAACAGAGAGAAGTCCCTCACCTCACTCTTACAGTCTTAATAAATAAGAGTACTTACTCTGCTGCTCGCGTCCTGTACCCTTATCTTTGGCAGAAACATGTACAATCCCATTGGCATCAATGTCAAATGTAACTTCAATCTGAGGGACTCCACGAGGGGCTGGGGGAATCCCAATCTAGAATAAATAAATACCAGAGTAAGCTCCTCTCACAAAGGGGTCCAGTGCTCTATTTCCAAAACCTATACGGTCTTCTGGGGAAGAAATTACTTGGTTTCTGGGAGGAACAAGTGAAACTTTCACTTAAATGTACAAAAACATGAGTTTGTCGGTGAGGGTGGTAATTTTATTGCTGCTTGAAATAAACAGGACTCATACTAGTGAAGGCTGGCTATAGCAAGTAACCACAGTGGCTTTATGTACCTAAGGATACACAATGCGTGAAGAGTAAACTTTTCCATCATTCATCCCAACAAGCAATAAGCAATGCTGACTAGAAGCCAGTAACAAGGGACTTCCCTGGCGGTCCAGTGGTTAAGACTCTGCACTTCCATTGCAGAGGGCACAGGTTCAATACCTGGTCAGGGAACTAAGATCCCACATGCCACAGAGCATGGCCAAAAAAAAAAGACGACGATGACAAAGTAGCAGCAGTATCAAAGTAGTAAAATAGTAATCAGGAATTTCTTCTAATAAGCACTGTTTATGAACATTTCCCTGGCTTTTACAAGCTTCTTTATTTAGTTCCTAAGGCACAAGAAGCAGGGCTTTCAGGTAAAAACTGAAGCGATGGTTATCCAGTTGCAGAATTCATTTGAATACTATGCTAAGATAACACAGACTACGTCTGTCAGCAGTTTATGGTAACATTAGGGGTTAGAATAGTGTAACTTCACCATAAAAAAATGAACATAACATTCATGATTCCCAATACCTACCAAAGTAAACTGTCCAAGAAGTTTGTTGTCTCCAGCCATCTCTCTTTCACCCTGACACACTTTAATCTCCACTTGAGTCTGTCCATCAGCAGCTGTAGAAAACACCTAGGGAGAAAAAGGAAACTTGCTGGGTTGGCAGCCTGATTTTTTTTTTTCCCAGCCTATTCCCCCTTACAAAGTGCAACAAACCAAAGGAAGAAATTCACCTCCCAACACTGGAAGAATCCTAATGTACACTATGTTCAGAACAAAGGCTTATGTCTTTACAGAGAACAGGAGTAGGATTAGCACAGCAAAGGGCATACAATAGCTATTGTTTTCAGCTAAGCAAAGGCATTGTACAAAGATGCAGCATTAGCACAGAAGGCCTCAAGAGAAGGAGCTATAAAAAGCGAGATGTTGAAACATGCTCATCCAAAGAAATGGGTCAGAGAGAGGACATTTATTTTATGCTCATAGTCACAGGAAATCACCACACACTTCAGAATGATGTGTTGGCAATACGTCACTTCAAACATAGCAATAGCCATAGTTCTTTCAGAAAAACACCAAACCTGAGAAAGGAAATAATTCTTAATCTAAGACCAAGCCATTGTCCAAATAACCCTGGCTTGATATCTCAGAACCCCTATCGTTCTCCAGGAAGACAAGCAAACTCCCTTAGTCTCAGCCACGCCATTCTTTTTACTGCCTTTGAGAACAGAAGAGTATAGGAATTCAGTCTCAAATAATGAGGCTCCTTCTGGCAATTATTATCCTGAGAAGGAGAGACTACTGATGACTTCCCTAAAATTATCACCACTGGCTGACAGAAAGAGAACTTTTCTAGGAACAAAAGAGAACAAAGGACAAGATTCTTACCACCCCTCCATATTCAACTAGTATGGACTGCAAAACAAAAAGGAAAGTTTTCTAGGAAAAGCTCACAGAAGTGGCTACAATCACATCCTCACAGAACCTAGTATCTCTGTGACAAAGTAGAGTGGGGTGGCTTTTACCTGGCTCTTCTTGGTTGGAATAGTGGTGTTCCTGTTAATAAGCTTGGTGAAGACACCTCCCAGAGTCTCAATACCCAGAGACAGGGGAGTGACATCCAAGAGTAGCACATCTGTGACATCACCAGCCAACACACCTCCCTGAATGGCAGCTCCAATGGCCACAGCCTCATCAGGATTGACAGCTTTACTTGGGGCTCGGCCAAAGAGATCCTGCACAGTCTGCTGAACCTGAGCACCAAGAAAAAAGAACCTTGTCACTCACTACTCAGGGCAGTTGCCTGAGAAGAGGAGAGTAGCACGTGTGTCCTGAGACCCCACCAGGTCTCAGGACAGGGTGCTTCAGATCCAAGAACGTTTACTCAAATTATTTTGTAGTTGAGTTCTTGTTAATGAGTTAAGTATATTATTTGGTTACACATATACTTTACTCTTGAGTATCTCATTCATAGCCCTTTTAAATTTGGGAACAATTTGCCTAAATTTTTTTATCTGGTTTCAAGCAACACATCAAATTAGAAATACAAGGTACAAGGCAAGGGGACTTAATTTGTATAGTCCAAGTCCTCTTCTACATATCAACTAAAAATCAGCTTAACAGAAGCAGTAGTAATTCAATACCGGTGCAAGTATGAGGCATGTTTTCCCCTCCTGCTTATTTTACTAATGCTAGGAAAAAGTTCTATTTGAGTAACATCTGGGATAATTTGTTAACATAAAAATATCTGCCTGGTTCAAAGCCTCTCCTTTTCACTTCAGATTTATTGTATGCATCATTTTCCTAAGCACAAGTACTCCAAAGGAAAAATTATGAAAATCAAGGCCCAAGATAGTTCTGTTCAAGCTATAAAGCAAGAATTACACCATCAACAGGTTCCGTGCTCAGTTATTAGTTTTCCACACACCTGTCTTTTCAGAATGATGTGTTGATAAAATGCATCATTGCACAAATCTCTGTTGAAGAGATGCCTTTAGAAACCCCAAACACTATACTGCAAAACACATGTCCAAAATTGCCCATAGAGGCTAGTTAATACCAGGATGTTAAGCTGTCTCTGACCGCAAACTTTGTTTCATTCCTAAAAATTCTATAAAACTGAAGTTCAGGATCCTCCTTGCTACTACCCCAAAGACATTCCCCCTTTCCTAATCCTTTTTTTAAAATACACTTTAAGAACTCTTTAGCAAGGGCACAAATTCATCCGTCTTTCAGGTCAGCGTGGTAGAAAGGCCACATATTCATGTCCCTACACAACATAAGCCATATGTTATGTCCTAATAAATCATTATGTGTTGGCCCTCTCTGCGCTCTATGTCAAGAATTCCATGGGTCCTTACCTTGGGCATCCTAGTCATGCCACCAACCAGAATCACTTCTCCTATGTCACTTTTGCTGACTTCTGCATCTTGCATGGCTTTTTGGCATGGAGCTATGGTCCTTTTGATTAGATCAGTAACAATCCCCTCAAACTGAGCCCGGGTCAGCTTCATATTCAAATGCTTGGGTCCAGAGGCATCCATTGTAAGGTATGGCAAATTGATGTCAGTCTGCAAAGGAAGCAGGGAGACCAGTAGTGAAGTCTCTTTATTACTTCAATTAAAGACTATACCCTAGGAAAGGAAGACTCTGAAAGCCACAGTGAGGGTCAGACACTTTAAATGAATGGCCACCAAAGACAGTGACTCTTTAAGATTCAACCTCTTATCTTCCCAGAAGTAAACACTATAAATCTGTTATTAACAATGGAGAAAGGAATAGAGAAGCAGGAAAAATCCCCATTCAGGTGAAGAACAGTCTGTCCTGCTATTAAAAATATATTAAGGGGCTTCCCTGGTGGCGCAGTGGTTGAGAGTCTGCCTGCCAATGCAGGGGACACGGGTTCGTGCCCCGGTCTGGGAAGATCCCACATGCTGCGGAGCGGCTGGGCCCGTGAGCCATGGCCGCTGGGCCTGCGCATCTGGAGCCTGTGCTCTGCAACGGCAGAGGCCACAGCAGTGAGAGGCCCGCATACCACCAAAAAATATATATATATATATCTATATATATATATATATTAAGAATCACACTACTGTGTTCTTTTACCAAGTTTTAAAAAATTTCCTTGCACATTAAGAAAAATGTGAAAGGTATGCTCTGAACCAAATAATCTGCCACTAAACCAGGGCTTTGCAAGTTTCAGGAAGATGGTTAAGAAAAATACAACAAAAATGCTAAAGAGAAGTACAAGGACTGACTACTGCTATCACATCCCCAGAGAGTAGCTAACACTGCTACAGTCACACCATGTAACATACAGTATTTAATAAGCCTAAAATCCTGATAAGGCATGGATTAAGAATATTTAGACTAACAAAACTCATTACTAAACATGCAGAAACAGATGTCTCGGGGTGAACCCCCAGGAAAAGAGTTTGTGCATGCTGCCCCTCAAACTTCACAAAGCAAGGCCAACAGGGAATAAAGACTGAAGGGAGCAAATCCTTAACCAGCTTTCTTCAGGTAGAGTACCCTGGACAGATAAGTGCTTTACAGGGAAAATCAACACATCTTTTGTAAATGATACTGGATATAGTTTCAAGAACACCAATAACAATTTTCTCTTTCTTTGCAAAATGTTAACAAACCGCATCAGTAAATAAAATTATCTATAGTAATGCAATCCAACAGAACTTTCTGTGGCAATGGGAATGTTCTCTATCTCTGCTTTTCGATCCAGCAGCCACTAGTCACATGTGGCTGAATACTTGAAATACAGCTAGTGGAACTGAGAAATGGAATTCTTAAAAATTGTATTTAATTTTAAATAGCCACATGTAGTTACTGTATTAGTGCAGTTCTATATGCTATAATGACCAGGTGAAAAACTCCAGGGTTCTCCACCCTCGAAAGCCAGTTCCACCATGAAGTTCTGTCCCTCTTCTCTCTCAATTCCAACCATGTATCTCTCACTACCACACTCTGGTCCAAGTCCTTCCTCTCTCACCACCTGGTGTGCTGCAATAGCCTCCCAACATTTTCCCAGACCCACTCAGGCTGCCACAAAGAGCACTCCACCTCAGAGTGCTTTCACCAAATCTGACCATGTTACTGGCCCACCTTAAAAATTTTCAGTTGTCTGTTGTCATTATCTCAGGAAAGATACCAAATCTCCAATCTATAAAGCCTCTAGCCTTATCTTCTATGCTCCTCCTGCCAGTCTAGTCTGTACTTCAGCCACACTGACCCTTACTCAGGTCTTTACCCGAGAACCTCATACTTGCCTGACCCTTTATCTCTTCCTGATTAACTCACCTTACAGAAGCTCTCCTAATTATGTCAAACACCTGTCAGGTTCCTTTATTATAAATCTAACTTTGCCTTTTTAAAAAAACAAAATACATGCATACATTTAGAATACCACTTACTATTTACTACACATTGTCCTAAGCATGTTATATGTATTAATTTACTAATCCTCTCAACTCTAAGGGGGAATGGAACACTAATTATCCTCATTTTATAGAAAACAGAAATGTTAAGTAATTCATTCAAAGTCACACAGCTAATAAGTAATGAAATAAGGACTTCATCTCCACCAGTCTGCTTGCAGAGTAACTCTTCTTTTTAAAAATTTATTTATTTTTTTGGCTGCGTTGGGTCTTCTCTGGGTGCAGCGAGCGGGGTCTACTCTTCATTGCGGTGTGCGGGCTTCTCATTGTGGTGGCTTCTCTTGTGGAGCACAGGCTCTAGGTGCATGGGCTTCAGTAGCTGTAGCACACGGGCTCTAGAGCGCAGACTCAGTAGTTGTGGCGCACGGGCTTAGTTGCTTTGCGGCATGTGGGATCTTCCTGGACCGGGGCTCGAACTCGCGTCCCCTGCATTGGCAGGCAGATTCTTAACCACTGTGCCACCAGGGAAGCCCCGGAGTAACTCTTAACCTCTACATTACTTCTGATGTTTACTAATATAATGTTCTCGGGCTTCCCTGGTGGCACAGTGGTTGACAGTCCACCTGCCGAAGCACGGGACATGGGTTCGTGCCCCGGTCCGGGAAGATCCCACATGCCGTGGAGCAGCTGGGCCCGTGAGCCATGGCCGCTGGGCCTGCGCATCCGGAGCCTGTGCTCCGCAACGGGAGAGGCCACAACAGTGAGAGGCCTGCGTACCGCAAAAAAAAAAAAAAAAGTGTTCTCATTAGTGTCCACCTCCCCAAACCACATTATAAACTCAAGGGTAATAAATGCTTCTATAAATTTAACCTACAGACTTACAATCACACATGCACAAACATTAATGTACAAGGGTGGTCAATACACCTTGCTATAATAGCAAAATGGTGGAAAACAATCCAAATATCTATTAATAGGATAGAGCCACAGTAAAACTAACCAACGTCCCGTTTCATACAGTGACAACCCCTGGGAAGAATTATAAGCTATCCTCTGGTACTGCCACATATTTCAGCCCCAACCATCATGCTGCAAATTCTGACAGCAGGACAAGGGAATACCATCAACTTCATGGATGACCCTGTACAGCTTTGTCACTCCTTATAGCTGCTATTAAAAAGAAAAAAAAAAAAAGAAAAAAAAAATCCAGATGTGACTGAAGGTCACCCACTTTACCAACACAATGACAGATGCTATAAATACCTCTTCCCTTCCCAGAGTGCTAAAGTTGCTCCAGTTCTGAAAGATGAAGCCTCCCTTTGCCTTAACCACTAAGAACAGAATAACAGTATGTTAGGTCCGTGTCAGGGATATAGCAAGATGGCAGGAGATCTAATTCCAGGTTCTCAGGTGGCAGCAGGAAAGCAAATCATAACCTCTGATTTGGGTGCTTCAGCTCACCCATAAAAAACATAATGCTCCTTTGCTAATGGAAAGGCTTTTTATCACCAACCAGAAAGCTGTTAAAAGAAATCTGACTGACATTATGCCAATTAGAATATGCTATTCGAGTAAACTCAGGCTGAAAAGATCCATCAAGACTGGTGGAATTTGTCCACGTCTCACCTGCACAGATGAAGAGAGTTCACACTTGGCCTTCTCAGCGGCTTCCCGAACCCTTTGAAGCGCCATGTTGTCTTTGGTCAAATCAACCCCTGTCTACAAAGTGAAGACACACAATATATTAATGTTAAGAAAATAAATGCTACTTAAATTGCAGTGGTAAGGTGTAACAAAACAAAATAGAGCCATACCGTTATAAACAAGCAGAAATTACTTATTGCCTTTAAAAATCTATAGGAAAAAAGAAGACCTACTTTGAAAAAGAAATATGTGTCTGGAGTTAGAGGATGAACTGTTCTCAGTTCTTTCCAGCTGTAGAATTCTAGCTCAAAAAAGGAGTTCCCATAATTCCTTTTCCAAAGTTTGCTTTACACCACTTCCCTTTTATATAAGATCTACTTTAATACCTGTTTTTGCTAACCAAATGAAATCTAAAAAGGATTTTCACTTTTACAAAAAAGGCAAAAAGGACAAATAATGTTCAGCGTTTGCTTTGCAGCGAGCCATTACAGAGGCAGTGTGCACCCCAAGCTCCTTCCCCAGTAACTACACTTATTTGAGCACCAAACCACCACCATAGCTTTGAACTGTCTGTGAGCATACAACCATTTATGTTGTGCATCCGTTAGCAAAATGTGTAGCTTCACGACATTTCAGCTTATCAAAAATTTCGCAGGCTCAATTTTCAGATAGTGAGGGAAACCTACACAGTCATCCCTTGGTATCTGTGAGGAATTGGTTCCAGCAACCCCTGTCAAATGCGGATACCCCAAATCCAAAGATATTCAAAGTCCCTTATATAAAATGCCATAGTACTATTGTACACCAGGTGCTATAGCCTTTTTTTTTTTTTTTTTGCGGTACGCGGGCCTCTCACTGTTGTGGCCTCTCACAGGCTCCAGACACGCAGGCTCAGTGGCCACGGCTCACGTGCCCAGCCACTCCGCGGCATGTGGGATCCTCCCGGACTGGGGCACGAACCCATGTCCCCCACATCGGCAGGCAGACTCTCAACCACTGTGCCACCAGGGAAGCCTGCTATAGCCTTTTGTTGTTTGTTTCCAATTTGAAGCTACGATAACCAGAATAGTTCAGAGCACCCATGGAACTACAATGCAATTTCAGTGGCCTATTCAACACTCTCTTAAGGGAAAAAAAATCATAAAACAAAGCAAATAGCAGTCCGAACAAAGAAATTCTCAGTATTCCAATGTGTACGTATTAACCACACTGGTAACTAACCTCTCTTTTGAACTCCTTCACAATGTGACGCAGCAAGGCCTGGTCAAAGTCTTCACCACCTAAAAAAGTGTCTCCATTGGTGGATTTCACCTCAAATACTCCTTTCTGGATTTCCAGTATGGAAATATCAAAAGTTCCACCACCTAAATCATATACAGCAATGCTAGAAAGGAAAAAGGCCGTCAGGAACAAAACTCATCACAGCGTATGGATTTCAGTAACCAAACCAACATAAATTTGGCTATTTCCCCCCCAGGTATAATTATGAAAGTTGATGACTGCATAAGTGATGTACGTCTTAACAGGTGGCCCTAATAGCAACATGTAAAACATACATACAGTTAAAATGAAATGTTAAAAAGCAAAAACCACTCTTTTGGATGAATACTTGCCAACAGGCATACCAAGGGGAAAAAATGACCACAGCCAGTACTTTAAAAAGAAAACGTAATCAAGGGACAATCTTGAAATGAATGAAAAACACAGACCATAAAAGCCTTGGGAAAAGGTCAAGGCAGTACATTTCCAGTCTAAGTATAAGGCTCAATCACCATGAAATCAAGATGATGATTTAGGGTAAGTTTCAAGGTTCCATGCACTTAAGTCTCACAAATCTAGGTGGAATTCACTGCACAAACTTACATTTTGTCTTCTGATTTGTCTAGACCATAGGCCAGAGCAGCCGCTGTGGGTTCATTAATTACCCGAAGCACATTTAGTCCAGATATCTGGCCAGCATCCTTAGTGGCCTATAAAAAAAGAAAAAAGCATTTTCCACCGTGTCCCAGGTACCATTAATTTCCTGAATAAAAATGCTAATTGGGGGGCTTCCCTGGTGGCAGCAGTGGTTAAGAATCCTGTTGCCAATGCAGGGGACAAGGGTTCGAGCCCTGGTCCAGGAAGATTCCACATGCCGCAGAGCAACTAAGCCCGTGCTCCACAACAAGAGAAGCCACAGCAATGAGAAGCCCACATACCGCAATTAAGCGTAGCCCCCGGTCGCTGCAAATAGAGGAAGCCCATGTGCAGCAACCAAGACCCAATGCAGCCAAAAATAAATAGATAAAAACAAATTATTAAAAATGATAATTAAACTCACCTGTCTCTGAGAGTCATTGAAATACGCTGGGACGGTGATCACAGCATTTTTTGCTGTATGCCCCAAGTAATTTTCTGGAAAAGCAATCAATGAAAATCATTCATGAGACCCTATCAGATGAAACAGGCTACAATTACTAATGTAGCCTAACAACCTGTGTCACTCTCTTGAGGTCACAAACAGCACCCAATAGTTTTTAACATATGACCTAACATGAAGAGACCTTGTAGGAAAACACTCCAATTTAAAAAACCCAAGATCTCACCTTTAACATGTTAGTGAAGGCTCACCAGCTACAATGACCTAGTTTCAGATTTAAAAGAGCCACTAGTTTCTTAAATGGGAAGTTTTATCTAACAGATACAAAAACTTAATGTGTAGTCTTTTGATTTCCCTTCTGGAAAAAAGAAACAAGCAAGCCACCATTAGGAAAACTTGGAAGAGAAATTCAATTTGTAGGGAAAGAGTAATAAAGTTTTGCCATTCCTAGGTATTCTGTATAAAAGCCACTGCAGACTCATCCAAAGGACACTGAAGTATGGAAGCCAGTGATCTCAGAGGAATCATGCTGTTCTCTAAATTTTCCCAGATATGAACTAAGCTATCTCACCTGCAGTCTCTTTCATCTTCATCAACACAAATGCTCCAATCTGACTTGGGGAATAGAGTTTTCCATGAGCTTCAACCCAGGCATCGCCATTAGAGGCACGGACAATTTTAAAAGGAACATTTTTACTGAAAGACACAAAAATTGTACTGAAGAAACATGCCAGCCCAACCTACCATGAGGTTACCATACACCATGAAAGCCCATCTTCCACCCCAATAGATCCATGGCCAACAAATGAGAACTTCAGGAATTTGTTTAATGAAAACCTTTAGAAAGCACCCATTAACATGTAAAAACATCTTGATGAATTGAAACATGAACATTCTTCTCACCAAAAATGTATGCAGCTGCTTTGGAAAGCGGTAACATATAGGTATATATGACCTAGCAATTCCATTACTAGATGTCTACCCAAGAGAAATGAAAATACATGTCCACACAAAAACCTATACACAGGGCTTCCCTGGTGGCGCAGTGGTTGAGAGTCCGCCTGCCAATGCAGGGGACACGGGTTCATGCCCCGGTCTGGGAAGATCCCAAATGCCGTGGAGCAGCTGGGCCCGTGAGCTATGGCCGCTGAGCCTGCGCGTCTGGAGCCTGTGCTCCGCAACGGGAGAGGCCACAACAGTGAGAGGCCCGCGTACTGCAAAAAAACAAACAAAAAAACAAAAAAAAAAACCTATACACAAAGCATTATTCATATTAGCCAAAAAGTGGAAAGAACCCAAATGCCCATCAACAAACAGATAAACAAAATGCAGTATGTAAGCATACAATGGGATATTATTTGGCCATAAAAAGGAATGAAATACCGATACACGCCACAACAAGGATGAACCTTGAAAACATTTGATCAGTATCAAGATGGCGCCTATGCCATTATCTACCTTATGTGTTTAACGCCAATTTATGTGGTCCAGAAATGACTAGCCAGATGTTCATGTATCATGTCACACATAGCAAAGACCTAATCTGTGAAGGCAAAATTGAATTTTTTGAAGGATACCCTTTTGGCAGGAGCAGGGCCTGTCCCAAGAGATCCTGCTGGTAAGATTCATCTATTTAGCCTTTGCATATAAATACATTTTTGCTATTACTCACATGTCTTTTTGAACTTCTGGGTCATCATATCGCCGGCCAATGAGACGCTTGGTAGCATAGAACGTGTTGTTTGGGTTGGTGACAGCCTGTCGCTTGGCCGGCATGCCAACAAGTCGCTCACCATCTGCTGTAAAGGCTACAACTGAAGGGGTGGTTCTGGCACCTTCAACATTCTCTAGCACCTAAAACTCCCAAGATAGGACAGAGAATGAGGTTCCAGTCACCACTACTGTTTTTGTACCAATCATTTAAGACACAAAACAAATATTAAAGAACAGTACTAATGGGCATACTTTTCTGCTCTGTGAATGCTGATATAGTAAGCAACTACTATTGAAGATTCAAACAACCTACAACTAAGAACATCCAAGAAACAGGAATAAATATAAATCACATCTTTCATACTCAATGTTTGGACAACGTAATCTTTCCTTCCATACGGAGAGTTAAATCTACTTCTGATTTTTTGGTGATGCCTACAAGTTTCAGGCATTAAAAAAAACTGCCAACAAGGAATTCAAAAATCCAGGTGCTCCAAATATTCTTGAAGAGAACCAGGTGGGAATAAAGATTTCACAAACAAAGGAGCAACAGCCTCTACTTCCTCCAGAAGGAAGTAAAAAACATGCCTTACTTAGGATGCAGCCTATGCATTATTTGGAGCTCCACTTGCTTCTAGACTGTTCCTGCACCTTTAGCCTTTGTTTAACTGACTTACAAAAAAGCAGAACGTTAATTACAGAAGTAATCAACAGCACAAGTCATCCCAATGGGTCCTAATGGTAACTTAGTAGTCTTACATCTATACTAGGACACACTTAAATCCTGGGAAGTCAAATCCATTCATTTATTACCAACATACAATTAAGCACAAAGATTCACCTCACAAGAGTCTTAAGAGTTTAAAAGCAGCTTTGAAAATGTCCCTTATCTAAGCCAAAGGACGCAGAATTCTGAATTGTGTACTGGTTACCACTACATGATCCAGAGCTTCCAATCATGCTCACCTTTGCTTGTTTACCTTCCATAACTGCCACACAGGAGTTGGTAGTACCCAAATCAATACCAACAACTGCTCCCTTGATTGCTTCTGATCTGTAAGACATTTAAAACAATGCTATGATTAATTATCTTAACAGTGATCTCCAAAATGGTTGTAGAAAAACATAAGAAAACAATATTTGTTACTGTGGCAAAATGCATACTCTATAAATAAACTTAGCTGTGTCTTTTTTTCTGAGTGAAGTAATTAATCACAAATTTAGAGACCATTGCTCTGGGGCTTAACATTTGTTATCTTAACGCTAAAGGAAATGAAATTATACTTACGCATAGTCCCGCCTTGAAACAATTCTAAAAGCTTCATGACTAAAGCCATTCCAGCCATCCTTAAAAACAAACAAAAAAAGGATCAGCCATGAACTACACATGAAAACTTGCGCTTGTTTTAATTATTCTTCTGAAGAATACATCAAAGGTTGAGACTTTCATTCTGTTCACTGAGTGGTTACCATGTATAAAATATACTGAAATAAAATATTTCATATCTAAGAGACATTATGGTACTGAAACAAACAAGCCTAATAAAGTACAAATTTTCCCAATGAAATCAGAGAAATAAATTGATATAAAATTATATTGAATTACATTACCAAAGGGTCTCTCAACCTTGGCACTATTGATTTTGAACAAAATCTTTGTTGGGAGCTGGGCCGTTCTATGCACTGCAGAATGTTTAGCATCAGCTTGGGCCTTTACAACTAGAACCCAGTAGTAGCATGGCTACCCAGGTTGTGACAACCAAAATTATTTCCAGACTGTGCCAAATATCCCGTGGAGAAGCAAAAATACATTAAAATACTACTCAATTTCATCATCAGGAGCAGTGTCTACCTAAGACCCACATATGTTACGTGTTGCAGGTACAGATTTAACTTAATCAGAGACATTTCCCCTGACCTTGACAAGCTGCTGCTTTAAGGGAACTAGAATTGGTAATTTTGTGAAGTCAGTTTACGAGGGAAAAAAAAAAATTGTCAGGAGTGGCTTCCCATCAGTGTCAAAGACCTTTATTACAATCTCATCTCAGGCTACTTCCCTGTTCCCCAAAAGGTATGTTTTTAGTCTTACACGATAATGAACAACTATTCCATGGCCTTTTCCTGATTTGCTCATTTTTTCTGAAATAACGGAGAACAAAATTCTGGGGAGCTAACTAGTCAAATGTTTGTAAGCAAGAAAATCAGAGCTTGATTTTTAATTTACTGCTCAGATGCTCTTCCTTCCTTCGTTGTATCATAGCAACGGGGTCCTCGCACACTCCGCATTTCACGGCGAACAATCGTCCTTCTACTCAAGACCAAAACTGTAATCGTCTCAAAAGGACTAATCAAGACCACTGCCCGCTACTCGATGAGATAAAACTCTAGGCTCCCAAGGAGTGTGACTCAGCAGGGCCTGAAACAGGAACGCAAAACCCTGAATGAGGCCCTGAACCGGCAGCAATGAATACTGAACGTCCATTATTTTCCGTCTCTCCCCGAGGATTCTGACCCCGAAGGCCGCGGCCTGCCGCACTGAGTCCCAAGGCCGTGAGCCCCTCGGGGAAGGCCCAGCAGTCCCTTACCTGGTGGCGGGCGGCTGGGGGGCCCCGGGAGGCTGCGGCGCCGACAAGACGAGCTACTGCGGCTCGGCTGGCGCTTATCATGGCTGCTAAATGGTGGAAATACGAGACAGCAAACACGCGCTCCGGCCACCGAGAATTGCGCGGCGCGGCGATGCTAGCGCTTCTGGAAACCTCCAACTACGTGAGGTGGGGGGCGGGGTTTGATCGCTGCGGCCTGGAAGCCCGCTCTTCCTCTGAGGCGCCGCCCGCGCCGCCTGATAAGATAATACCTGAACGCTGCTTCCGGAGTCAGGGCCTATGGCTAATACGCTTCGGGGCATGATGCCAGGTTAAAGCGTGTCCTCCCGTGCCAGCTGCGGCAGGTCTGGGCTCCGTGACAGATCAGGAGGCTAAAAGCGGTATAAGGCAGAACCGTGGACAACCCCGGTCCTCGGAGGCAGAAAAGACTCAAGGTCACACGGGATAAATTGCGAACAGTCTCCTTGCGTCAGTTGCCTGAGAGGAGGGGCCTGTTGCGCCTGCGCAACTGGGATCCTACTGAGGGCCTGGAGCGCATGTGCGCAGGGAGTGGCGGAGACCGGGGAGGAGTCTAACTAGAGCTGTCATAGGACGCTCCAGCTCACGTGAGTTTGGTCCCAGCGTTGCCCTGGGAGAGCCCCGGGCGGATACACGCTCTACGCGAGTTGACGTTTCCTCCTCGAGGAGGGCGCCATTTTGTACTGCGCCTTTGTTCAGTGTGCACCTGGGGTTCAAAATCTTGGTAGTTCAGCCTCGTCATTTCTTCGTCTTCTGACCGCTTGTTGCTATTGCAGTAACTTGAAATAAACCTACATATGCAGACTTTCGACAAATTCTTTCAGAGTTTTACCACAGAGACCTTGGGTTTTGAACTACTAAAGCAGCCCTTCATTCAGACGGAGCATTGGGTTGCCTTAGGCTAATTATCTTGCAGACCATCCCGAGAAAAAATACCTGAGCTCAGGATCTTACCTGCCCAGGTTTGCTCTGAAGCAGAGCAGGACCCTGTGGGCCCACTTGGGCACAAAAGCCTTTCTGTGTCCCCCATTTATTGTTTGTAGGAAATAGGCTTCATTCAGCCTCTTTGATTGTCCCTTAGTTCCAAAAGCCAGATTCAAGCAGTTGCTAATCTGGGAAGGGAAACAAGGGAGGCGCAGTCAGGAAGCAATAGTGCAGCCCTGGCTCAGGGTCCTGGTTTGCAGTCAAGGACTATACATAATAATATCTGTGAGTTCTGTGGAAACTATCCCCTGCCCAAATGTAGGATGGTAACTTCAGGCTGAGGGCAAGATTCCTGGAGTGCTGACCTGTTACCTCACCACCAACCGGTCAGAAGAAAGTCACACGCCCTGCACCTCTCACCCCCAAATTTTGCATATAAAATCTTCCCCCAAAACCATCAGGGAGTTAGGGGATTTTTTTAGAGCATAAGCCACCCATTCTCCCTGTTTGGCCCTGCAATAAACCTTTCTCTGCTCGAAACTCTGATGTTTTGGTTTGTTTGGCCTCACTGTAAGTCAGGCACATGAACTTGTGTTCAGTAACAGCTCCTCAGGCCCATCTCAAAACCTTGTTGCTTGGGACAGATAGCGTGGGTTCTGTAACAAGATGCCACTGACCTCTCTGCTGTGACCACTTTCAGATTTGTAAGAAAAAGAATTAATTCATCGATTCAACAAATATGTCTTGGAATGCCTTGATTTTAGAAATGAAGTAATTTGTCCTTAAAGTCTCAAAGTCCAATTTCAAAAGAGAAAGATGCTCCACTGTTAAGTGACCACCACTGTGTGAGGAATTATGAAGGAAATTTGGGGGGAAGTTTAGGAGGGAAAGAAGATAGCTGAGTTCACATTGTGAGGGGGGAGGGAAGTGGGAGTAAGAAAATAAAAAGTCAAACATAATATTGCTTATAGATTATACAGATCCTAAAAAAAAAGTACCCTCACCCTTTTATTTGTTAGTTGTCATTATATTATCTTTACTTGTCTACTTCATACTTTAATTTCTCTTGTTTTCTTAATTCCCTCAGAGGTGGACTTTCCTGAGGTCATCCAAGTTACAGTCTAATGGCCCCTATTTTAAAGAGATTTGTATGCTAAAACAATATACTGATGCTAAAGAACATGGAGGGGGGAGGGATAAATTGAGAGATTGGGATTGAGATATACACACTACTATATATAAAATAGATAACTAATAAGGACCTACTGTATAGCACAGGGAACTCTACTCAATACTCTGTAATGACCTATATGGGAAAAGAACTAAAAAAGAGTGGATATATGTATAACTGATTCACTTTGCTGTACACCAGAAACTAAACATTGTAAATCAACTATACTCCAATAAAAATTATTTTTAGAAAAATAACATAGAAACATAGAGAGGAGTGACAAATAAATAATATTAAACATGGAAGCAAAATAGAAATTGAAAACTTCACATCCCTACCTTGCATATGATAAAGAGGGAGGAGGGCAAGTGGAGTAATTGGAATAACTGCATTCTCCTCACTTCCCTCTTTTCTCTACTGGTTCTCTTTAGAATTTGCTTTTTTTCCTTCTTGTTGCATATACTTAAAAACTGCACAGTGTTAATCAAAAGAATCCTGGAATCAAATGGTGTTAGCTAAAGGTTGTCAGAGATGATGATTCTGGGGGTACACATATCACTGAGGTTCCTGGTGTTTTCCCCAAGAGCCTGGCAAATACTCAACATGACCACAAGGGGGACGTTGTAGCTCTAGATACTATTCAAAGCAGGAGTGAGAATGGGGCTGCATGTATTGTATTTGCCAGTGTGAAGGACAGGTTTTGGCGTTGTTCTGCAAATTAATATAGCCTACCGCCGGATGGCTTGAAGAAATAAGCATGAATCTAAAAAGAGCTGGCTGCAAATGAATAAGAGTGGATGGTTAGATCCACGGCCGGGTGATGCAATTATTCATCATACAACACAGCACTGTATTTCATTTCTCTGTTGTCATTTCAGTGTCATACTGGAAAGTGAAAGGAGCTGGTACATAATTTGCATGTGGGTAAATGTTTACCAGACAGAACAGGTGGCTGTCCAATACCTGTGCATACTATATTTTAAATTATATTCTAACTGGCATGATTTTTTTTTTTTTGAGGTACGCAGGCCTCTCACTGCCGTGTAATTTTTATTTTAGCATATTTTGAGAGAGGAAACCAGTTTCAATTTTTAAGTATTTAACTCCCAGTCATTAATAGGAAATGTCATTAGATAGTAATCACTAATAGTTGTTAAGTGTTTACTTAAGTGCCCCACTGTCCTAAATGCTTTCTAACATTATTTAATGGAATGATCAAAACAATGGTTTCAAGGGAATAATACTATTGGTATTCCCATTTTGCAGATGTGGAAACTGAGGCTTAAAGTGGTCAAGTATGTTATATAGGTGACAGGGCAATTGAATGGTAAAGCCAGATTTGAAGCCAGACTGTCTGACTCCAGAACCTATACTGCTAACCACTAGGCTCTGCTGCCTCATAACAAAACTGGGTCTGATCTTTTATCTCCACATATACAGAAGATGAGTTTTGTAACACTGGCCTAATCCATTATTAACAGCAGCTATTTTAGGCAATTGAATTAAAGTTATAAAAGAATTTTTATGTAGTTTAGGTTCCAAGACATCTATAAAGAAAGTTCAATCTGTAATAGAACACATAAGATCAAGCTTATATTTTTAAAGCAGTCTCTTTAAACTGGTGACTCAGATGACGTTTTATTCAGTTTTCCCAGAGATGAATATCATGCTGTGGCACTTTCCATCTTCATGAAATAAAATGTGGCATACTGCAGGGATTTGTCATTTTTATTCTCCTTGGAATTTTTTATGTACCTGCAGCAGATTTCAGGAGACAGTTCCCACTTTTCCATTTGGGCATTAGCTATACTATATTGGAGTACATTACACAGTGTCACTTCACTCAAGTCTGATTCAACAGAGCTTGCCCCAGTGAAGTGTAGGAAGTATTATGTCAGGTGATGTCTCTGTACCTGGGGTTGGTGACAATTAGCAGGTTTCATTTTATATGGAATGCTGGTAACCCACCAACCTGCCTTCCTTCTGATAGGAGAAAAGAGAAATAGAGGATGACCCTAAAAGAAAACTAAGGTAGCAATAAATCAAAATAAGATGTCCCTTTGTTTAGGTTGGATATTTACATTCCAGTGATAATGCAGTCTCATTGCACAGGGTAAAAATCAGTCAGTTAACCTCACTCGGATTTTCATTCAGGTTTGGAAAACAGTCGGCTATTGGATAGGTCCAAAGAGCTGTGTGTGAGGTACCTATTTGGGGAGGGCGTAGGACTGACAAAAGCAGAGATTTGCTCTTTATGAAGACCCATTTAATAATTAATTCTTAAGGATGCAGGAGTGTTTTCTGAATGCTTTCATTTAAAGGTCCAGAATTTTAATTTATTCTTGATCAGAATGTTATAGTGGAAGCAACCCTGAACTAGGACTTGAGCCTGAACTTGGGTTCCAGAAACACAGAAAGGTCTTTAGATATCACTTAAAATCTAACCTTTTATTTAATAGATGAGGAACTGAGAGAATCAGTGAGTTGCCCAAGGTCACACAGACAGTGTTAGCTTCTGTTCTACAGCCTCCATTTTTACTTGGTATGCTTTTTAGAAATCACCCACATGATTTCAGACTAAATGGTCAATCAGTACAGTTTTTCAAATGCTTACAGACAACTCTGGCTCATATACCCGCTTCCTCCTGTCTCAACCTTACTCTTTAAGGTACACAATTAGTGAAATTATATCAGCTATCTTTTCAGATCTCCTGGATTGCATCCTCTCTCTATGTGAGGGGCTTTTGGTTTCTAAGGTTCCCCACCTCGGCTCCCCAGCTGTCAGGAGAGGAGGTACCCAGGCTTCCTTAGGTGATGAGGATTTAATTGAAGGCTAGTTGGAAGAAGTACAGGCATTGTCTCAATACCCATAGAACCAGAGTTCTGGCAGAACAAGTTGGGTGGCTCCTCCTCCTTGGTCAGGCCCCAGCAGGACCTGGCTGTAGTGACTTGTTATCAGGCTTCTGATGTTCCCCTCTGCACTGACTCTGCCCTTTCCATGGCTCAGCTTCTTTATGTCTGCTTCTCTAATTCTTCTATTGCAGT